TATATAAGTTTTATTATCTTTATGATTTTTATCGAACCAATTATTATGACTTGCGTTTATATCTCCACATAGGGGCTAGGGTTACCGGTTTTTTTTTAATTTTTATTAAATGATTGGCGCAATAATTAAATTTAGGTAGATTTATGCCAACGTCATCTTAAGTCATCATTAGTTGTTCAAAAGATTTTTTGTTATAATTATTTCTCTTGCTCTTTTTACGCTGCATAATGGGTTGTAAGGATAAATTAAACTTAAAATGTAAAATCCAGGTATTAGTGTGTGAGGCTACAACTTTCGATGATTCGGCAGTCCTCATTGAAAACGAAATATCGGCCGGAATAATATGAAAATAAAAACAAGAAAAATTAAACACTGATTTGGTAAATAAAATGTGTACAATATTGTCTAATTTACGTTTACGTAATCAAATTTATTTACATTACATGAAAGTTTTGGGTTTTGTACTTGACATATTTTATTGTTTAAATTATATTCAACGGTTCAAGCTGTAGACATATTATTATTTTGTTTATTTTTGTGTCTTCAGCACTATTCGATAAGGGAATAACCACGATCGCATGGAATATAGGGTTAGAATAGTAGCTTAATTCTAGTGCGATTCGTGTGGTGAATGACACAAAAAGAAGACTCTTTTTATTGGTAAAAAGGCATACTGTCTCAATAGTTGAAGTGACAACGTCTCTAAGTTTTAATTCTTAATCGAGGATAGTTTTAGGCATCCGTATGCTAAAGCACTTACCATTAGTTAGACTGTGTGCTTGCTTTCTTTTTTCTTAAAAAAAAAAAAACATGCAAGTTGTACAAGGACAAAATCCATTGTAGGCCATACAAACAAGTGTTCTTAAACAATATAAAATACTTGTTGGTATACGAACCCGCGACCCCCAGCGCTGTAATTCATTGCTAAACCTCTGCGCCACAGAACCGTCCGCAGTTAAAAATTCTTATCTTACTGGGTTTTTTAAAAGTCGTTTTAAAATTATCGGTATCAGTGTTTTACGTAGTTTTACATGCTTTTGTTTAAATACTTGTAATTTCATTGTAACATTGAAATTTCAATTTAAAACAAGTGTATTTGAAAGCAGTTGAATTTGAATTCGAATAAATTTATTATCTAGCATGTTGATATGTCTATTATAGATTGCTTCAGTTAATAATAATGTTAGATACGGATTAATGAACTTTACCGTTCTCAGCGTTACAAACACGAACAAAGGGTTAATTTTAAGCTGTGTTATTAGAACAGACCAATGAATATTCAGTTTAATCACAATTTACTTAGTGTTTTCAAAATGTAATGAATTTCCATTGATCAAAATTATATTATGGAAGGTTGAGTTATTTTATGTAGATAGATTTCAGAAGGAAAATTTTAAGTTCAGCATAACTACAAATTAAGTACAAAAATATGTAATCAAACACGGGGCACTCGCGCGCGTCATACCTGCACTAAACTTACTAAGGTCGTGAACTCATCACATCACTCAGCTGTTATCACTATGATAATCGATTATCACAACTTTCAAAGTTTTACTTCGAACGATTCTGATAGTTATGTAGAAAAACTAAATTTTAACTATGTCTGCTTGACGACCATGAAGATATTGTTCAATATATCCGCCTTGTACCTCTATACACGTGTTGCGGAACTGATATTTCAGACGTTATTTTTCCAAAGGCTACGACTATTCGGATACGCATTTAACGTGTAACGCGTATTACGTGTTTTTTGGAATACAGACTGACTGCTTAATCGTACCACACATGTAAACATTAAAGGTGTAAGATCAGGTTTTTTACCTTTTATTGAGTGGTAAAGCCATGCTGCAGCTATATTGTGGTTGCAGCACGAGTGGGATGGCCTAACCAGTGTTGGACCACGTTCTCACAGATTACCAGAGTAAAATAGCAGCTTAATGCTGCTATGTTTCATATGGTGAGTATAGAGAATCTGACACCCTTTTACTGGAAACGAGGCTTTCCATCTTAGTCATCAGGGGTTGACAAAACATCTGCAGTTTGATTTTTAATTGAAGATAAATATCCACAGCATCAACTTAGTTAGTATCAAGTGGACTGTGTGCTTATTTGTCACCCTTATCCCATAAAAAAGGTGATCGCGGTGCCCTGATGATCGGTCCAACACGATCAAACCATCATTCGCCGAATTCGGTATTCAAAAATTTTCTTACATAACAGGAATAAGGCGGTGGTGCACCATCGTGTTGGAACCACAACCGACGTACGATTCTAGGTTTAATTCATCAAGTAAATCAGTTGGTACTGAAAAAAAGCATCTTTAACTTTCACCGCTCATTGTTTGGCCAAAAAAACCCGGACCAACCATTTTGCAACCTATTTTCCCGCATACACATTGATTTTCCATCTGTGTTGAAATTGGCTGGGTTTATAAGAATATAGATTAATGGTTGACCATAAGTGTTGATTATGAGCGTTAAATATACCTGTTCCAACAACTGAGCATTCATCGGTGAACAGTTAAAGGTAACGGAGGGAAACCAGGAGATGGGCAACAGCTCTCTAACAACAACTGGATCCAAAGTCAAAAAATGCTGTTGTCAACTCGCCCGCCAAAAGTGACATATGTACGGGAAATATTGTAACCTTATGAGGTTATCTGTGGGGAGGCTTTTTTTCAGTAGTTGACTTTGATAGATTGTAATGAATAGATGATCAACGTATAGGTACTTGATCTCAACATAATTTTACAAACTGTTAGAAATTATCAAAACATCGTCATCTACGTAGTGAGACTTAGATTTTTGGTCTTTAAGTAACTTGTGAAAATGATTTTCTAAGAATTTATAAGATATAAAATAAATATGAAAATATTAATATTGAACAATAAATGTAACTGTATCTAAATATCTATTCAAACAAAAACCGTAGGTCTTAGGGATTCGTGCGCCGCGGGCCACTCACTTTGAAAAAATGCTGTGTTGGCCGCGTCAGTGACCTCACTGCGGCCGTAGGTATATTGGCAGGTGCCGGTTACTTCATGTGCAAGTAACATTTTTAGAAGTAATAAAATTAGTTATTTGCCTGAATGAATGAGGATTAGAAACCTTAAAATCCCTTTTATAATAACCCAAAAAAAAATTCATTGTCATAATCGCCATGCTCGTTCGTTGTTACATACTGTGTAACTAGCATCCCTATGCCTATGAGACGGGTAGGTACCACTCGTATCTACTTCTGCCGCCAAAAAGCTGCAGTAGCCGAGGGGGCGGCACATCGACCAAAGCTTGGAAGACGTGCGAGCTTTGGCGAGGTTGCGGTTCAAAATTCCTTCGTACTTGTGCCTGTTTAGCAGTGCAAGGAACATCTCGACGGGTACTTCTTCCTATTGAGTGTATGGGGCACACATTTGTCAAGCTTTCTTACCTTGCCAACTTAATGCAAATAGACTTATATTGTTTTGATGCTAATGTCGAAAGCTACTGCTAATTCAGCTGTAGATTGAGTATCATCAGCTTCCATAAACGCCTTTAATTTTACATAGTCGATCAAAGTTTTGGGACGATCACGGGGTTCATTTTCAGGTTCAGAGTTCAGGTCGAAATTTTGGGGACGGAAGTGGGAAAACCAACAACAGGTGGTGCGTTCGTTTGTAGTATTCGCTTCGTAAACGTCGTTGATGTTGCGTGCCGCTTATGCCGCGTTGTTGCCACGATGATACCTACTCATATTCTATAATTATTCGAATTTTTAACGTGTCCATGATGAAAAAGATTCAAATGCGATGGAAATATAACGCTAATCAATAAGTACCTAAATAACTAATTTTGAAAAAAAGAATTCCATGTTTTGAAAATAAAATAAATTTTAAATTGGAATTTTCGGCCAAACAAAAATTATTTTGATTTTAAGTAGCCAGTACTGCAGAACTGTAACTTCATAAGGAAATACCTATTATTAACATATTTTACACCAAATAGCAGCGTTTCAACCACACTGAAATGTAATTATATACTAGTGAAAATAAAACCACGTATTTTATTGACTGCTACCTCTGATCTCAATCGTATTGGGTATCAAAAGTACAAAATAAATCTAATTAAAAAAATCGAAATCGAAGTTTTTATTCGAAGTAATCGTAACAATTTTTAATTTTAATTAACATTAGATTATTTTTTCGCCCAATCAAATTTTGAGGTTGATTTTTTTGTAATGATCAGATTTTTTATTATAGTCATGGAAATGCCGCATTTTTTTAATAATTAAAAATTTAATTTTCGGGACACAGCTACGCGGTACGGTCTACGTCTCACTTATTTTATCTAACAGCTTTCACAAGAACATGTTTTATATATACGATTTGATCCTATTTTAAGCGAGTCAATCTTGATTAGGTGCAGAAGGGTCAGTGCTTTTAAGCAAAAATGCAAAAAATTTTTTAATTAAAATTTGCGTCAACTGATGTTTGAAAAACAGTTGCTTAATTTAAAGTTATGATAAACGAATAATTTGAATGTATAGTAACAATTATCATGTTGAAAATTTTAAAATTGTGTGGTTATTTGTTGATTTCTCTTTAATATTATTATTTCCTTTTGGTTGCATTAATACGAGTAATGTAATTTTTTGACTGGATTTGCACTTAACATTATGTATCTGACTAAATGTTTAATTAGAGAAAAGAGATGAATCACCTTAAATATTCTATGATAATTTTGAGCATAAAACTCTAGAACTCTACGCCAATAAGTCACACACGACAAAAATGACAGACATTATACTCGTTTAATAATTTCAAACAAATGCAGGTACCTATTGAAGTGTTTAATAATCATTTCAAATTGTGTCATCGAAGGTTATTTTTATTGAACATCGATTTTTAAATACAGCCGGTATAACTTATATATTTACATTAATTGAACTGGTTATAAGGCATGGGAGAATATCTCATCAATCTTGAATTGTAGAATTGTTGGTATATAAAACATTTTTTTGTTCAGAAACGTGTGCTGACATCGTATGTCAAGGCGGAGGAGACTGCGTAGTGGACACTGATACTGGTCGGCCTACCTGTCACTGTAATCACAACTGTACTGAAAAACAGGTGAAAAATATAAATTTGTGTGTTAACAATGACAATGAAATGCTTGAACTGAAAATACGTACTTGTATAACATAGAATTTTATAAATCCCCTGAAAACCATCTCAGCCCTTAAGTTACGCGTAACGAAGTCTATAAAGTTATCATCTCTCGTATGTATTGTAACGTTTGGGCCCTGAAAATATTGTCTTTTGTGTTTTTCCAGTTTTAAGTTTAATATGACTTTAGACACATTACCTTACGGTATTTTCTTGCATCGACGGTAACAACCCTTTTTACCGTAAGGTAAATGTTACCGTCTTCAAAGCAATAGTGAATAGGTATTGTTATGTTAAGTCAGTGTGCCTTACCATTTTTGGCTGCGCCATAACTTATCATTAAGTGGGAAAGTCAAGCACTGGGGGTTATAATAGTAAGAAAAATGAATAATTTCATTGAAAATTACTCCGATGTATATATAAATAAAAAAGAGTAAAATGTATTTAGGCTTAACTTTATTCCATCTAACATATCATAACTTTAAATTTTAAAAATAGAGTCGCCAGCAGCGTCAAAAATATCTCGCTAATAATGTGCACACAAACACAAACGTACCTCAAAATGAGGAGGAGGATATTTAAACGGTTTACGAATTAATAGCATATATTATGTCGTGTGACATACTTTTAACAACTTCCAAATACAGATTAAGTATATTTAAAAAGTTTTAGGTTAAAATATTCTGGTTCTGAGCTCAGATTGATTGCTTTAAAAGAAGTTTTTGTTATAATTAATTCTGTTTTTTTTTAAAGTGAAAAATCTCACCAAATAGGAAGTTGATATCAAGGGAACATTGAATTGCACTCACTTTATTTTTTATTTATATATTAATTTCTAATTGCTTTATTTTTTCAACGATAAATTTCATTTTCCAATCAGGAATCAGAAGTTGTATGTGGCACAGACGGACAGACGTACACGTCGCAATGCGAGCTCGACTCGACGGCTTGTCGCGAACAAAGCGAGTTGCGGCTTGCTTACAGGGGCGATTGCGGTAAGTTATACAACCGTTATTAATTACGTTAAATTTATGATAAATTCATTAAGGACAAATAGGAAAATATATCACAGAGTATTTAAGCACGTATATTTCGTAGTTTGATGCTGCAGTTGTTTTTGTTAAAAGTAAAAATGTTAAAAGTAAATGTATATTTTATTAGCCCTAACTTTGCAAAGGCCTTTTGTTCTAATCTAGTTATATAAATTTTAATTCAAGATAAGTTATAGAAGAAATCTTTAAAGGCGTTCTTAACTGATTATACTGAATTTAAATTTTTTCTATCAAAAAGTTTGAGAACAGTGGAAGTATGTTGGACTGAAGGTCTAGAGAATATGGCGGATGATGTAGGATCTCAAGCTTTTTCAAGATTTCTCAAACTGTTAACTTAACTAATTTTACTAACATTCTGTCGATAACTGTGCGTGACTCAGTTCGTAAGATACCCATTTTGACAAGCTTTGTTATTTTATCGATTTGCGTAAATCATATAAAATAATTGACACATAGGAGCTCCGTAATAGTTTGATGAGGATCCACTTTTACCGTCTTCAGTTCCTTATTATCAACCTAAATTTGGTATAGCTATAAGGTTTAGTTGTTAGGTCAAAATTATCCGAAAGAAAGCGAATAAACCAACATAATAGCACATTGTTCGTTCGTTAGTAGAACTAGGTACACAAACGTTATTGATATTGCGTGCCATTTAAGGTGAATGAACGACACGAATTTGCTTCGAGTCCGTGGTTTGTAACAACAATAATTATTCCAGTTAAAAGTTGCCTCTTAAACAAAACAGCAATTATGTAGGTAAGAAAATAATTTAAATTCATTGCTTATAAAGAAATAATTCACCATATAAATAGTCTAAATTGTTCGTGTAAGAAAGCGATTGAAAGTTTTTTTACCACAATACTTCTTTTCTTTCACAATACTTCTCTGCAGGAGTTTTGCATTAATCGGAACAATGTTCTCTATTTCCTGTTTTTTTGCATATATGGTAATGAAACCAGTTGTCCACAGTGATCTAAACTGATGTAGTTTTTGAACTATGAATTTCTTGATTGGTACAACATCTGTAAAAATATTATCAATACAAGTTGCACTATACCCTTAATTGAATGATTTCCACAATGAACAAAATTTAATACTGATGGAAGAAGCTTCCAGGAGATTGATATTAAAGTTTCCGCATACTACAAGAGATTTATTCTGTTTATTACGTTTTACTAAAACTTCTCCCATAATTTTTTCCAAGATATCATACCGATCATGGGGTGTGTAAACACTGACAACAATTAAGTGCTCAAGCTCAACACATGCCATTTCTACAGTTCGCTCAACAGACTGGCTCACAATATCTTTACGTTCTTTACATGATATGGATTTATTTGCTAATACTAAGGAGCCACCACGTAATTAAGTATCTTTAATGAAAGAATGACCACATAGTGATTACTGAAATTTAATATGGTGTTGTAATCTTTCCACCAATGTTCATATATATATAAATATATATATATATATATATATATATATATATATATATATATATATATATTTGGTGATTTATATCCTAAGGTATTTAATTTATCTTCGCTAGAGATTACCTCTTTTGTCTTATTATCTAATTTAAATGACTTGTAACTGATTCCAAATCATTTGTAAAATTATTTTGCTGCTCAATAGAATCAGCAAATGAATTTTATCATTATTATTCTTAGAATTAAATGTCAAATTTAAATTATTAAATTATTATTACACGTCAAATAAGTCATTATTAAATTTAAATATATCTTAGTTTATTTTCCTGTGGTCACCCCTCTATGTAATGTAATATAAACAAGATATCTTTATGAACATTTAAGTTATTAATATTCCTTTCCTCCCACAAAAATTATTAACATACTATCAGGGCTAAGGAGGCTAAGGAGATTTCTTAGGCCAACGGTGCGCACACTGCAAACAATGGAAAAGTTTAAGTCCTTAATTGTTAAAAAATCGGAAAAGATTTATGGTCCCGACGATATAATATTTGCAAAGTCGGTTAAAGGTTCCGTCGATGCATTATAAATAGCGCTCTTAAGAAAAGCGGAATTTATAATTTTTCATTATATGTATCATATTTTCTCCTATAATAATATTGATGTTTTATCACGTTAAGTGATACGGATTTTTTTACTTACCATTGTCATCATTACAAAATAAGATAACAAAATGTTTCTACAAAATAAGAAACTCAATGTTTTGTTGCAAATATATCTTAATAAATAAAAGGTAAATTAAAAACACTTATTCTTACTAAATCCTATACCTTTAAACGAGATATTCTTGTTGTTTCAATATCTTTATATATATATATATATATATATATATATATATATATATATATATATATATATATATATATATAATATATAACGAACGGAATCTCGGAATCGGCTCCAACGATTTTATTTTCATAAAATTTTGTATCCAGGGGTTTTTGGGGGCAATAAATCGATCTAGTTAGGATTTTTTTAGAAAATGTCGTTTTGTCCGTTTTTTTAGGCAATGAAAAACTGCTACAACATAAGAAGGTAAATTTTGACACCTTATTAATGATCGTAATAGCTCAAGTGGATATCGGGCTGTCGTGTAATCGTAGTGCCCTAATTCGCGTCCTGTCTTCGGTCTGACTTTTTGCCTTTTTTTTTCAAGTTCCCTTCTTTTGTGAGAAAATCTATTATTTCGAGTCCTCTTTTTAGTATTTTTTTTAAAAATACGAAAATTTAAATTAAACAAATTGCAGTCATGATTTTTTATTCAAATAACCAGTTCAGTTTTTTCTATTATGTCAATAAGATCAAAAAATATTATTTACGTTTCATCAGTCGGTAATTTGTATTTAAATACTCGTATAATTTCCGAAACACACGATTTCCAAAAAAAAAAAAAAATACCGAGCAAAGCTCGGTCGTCCAGGTACTTCATAATTATATATATAAGGTCGGAGAAAACTTCTCCGTATTTTATATACAAATTCAAGACAATTTTCTTCAAAGTTTAATTACATTTAATTATAATATATATGTGCCGTTTTCTTCGATAACTTGTGGTTATCTTGTAGATATTGCCATAATACCTTTGCTATAGAAATCTTGGTAGTATCTTTGATAAAAAATGTGACAAGTAGTTTTGTCAGTCCTATCTTGATGTAGACCCAACACTACCCAAAGAATTCAGACGAAACCAAAACAGGTGAAAATCTAAGGTTTCAAGGTCAGTACTATACGGTGGATCTATTAAGATTTCCCAACCAAGCTCTCTCAATTTTTGCTGAGTGGCCAAATATGTGTGTCCACCCCTTCTCTGTTGATCATTTCCGGTAGTTTTTTTTTTAATTTCTGGCTTAAGTCTCGTTAGTTGTTGGCATTTGAGATCCCATTCGATGGTTTTGCCCGCCAGTAAAAGCTGATAATAAACGATGGCCTTCCAATCTCACGATACACACAGAATCACCTTATTGCATGTTAATTCGGATTTCGTTACGGTCTGTGGAGTTTGACTAGCCTTTGGGCATGATCTCCTACGCACGTTGTTGTTGATCCACTTTTCGTCACCAGTGACCAATATTTTCAGGAATAGTTCGGTTGCTTTACATTTCAATAAAGAATCGTAAATTAGTACACGATCAATTAGGTTTCTTTCAGTGAGCTCGTGTGGTACCCAAATACCCAAATATCGAGCATTTTCGTATAGTCAGACTTTTTTAAATTGGTCAAAACTATTTTGTGGTCAATTCACAATTCCTCGGCTATGTTGTAAATATTAATATGTCGATCTTGCTCCATGTTTTCAAATATGGCGTCGACTTTATCCATATGAAGGCGACCAGAGTATGATGCATTTTTAACATCAAAGTTCCGGGCCTGAAAACGCCTTAACCAACTTTTTGCTACTCTTACTGACACTGCATTAGGTCTATAAAGGTCACAAAGATTATTTGCGGGTTGAGACGCATTTTTTAGAATGTTCGAATTTTTTCGTTATATTCACTTATTTTAGCAAACAGAAAAGTAATTGAAAATTGTGGGAATATGTATATTTTTTCCTTATATGTATGTATTTATATTAAATCCAGCCAGATAAAAACAGTACAACTAAAGAGATTTGTCTTCGATTTTATAAAACTTTTTTCCGACCTATAATTTATTTAATTCTTAAAGAAAATCGTTATACAAAACAAACACAAGTAGTAACAGTTACACATTTTCACATTAAACTGCTGCTTTTAATAGATTTATCGTATTGTTATGTTTGAAGTCAATTAGCATGCGACAACTAAGACTGGCGTAGTGCGCGAACATTTGTTATCCAGTTCACATTACATCCATTACAGCCTATAAAAGTTCACTGCTCAACATGGGGCTACACATAAATTGCCTCATAGGGAAAATTTTGCCATAGTTGCCATTTTTGGCAGGGAGGTTGAAGGAAGGTGGTGAAAGGAAGATGCTACTATCCATCTGCAGTTTCAGTTTACCTTCTGTAACCTCTTACGAGACCTATGGGATGACATGGGGTAATGGATATTCTTACACCGACCCTACACGGTAAACAGTGATTGTACATTCCATGAGCAGCATGTTAATGTTGCATGTTCAGAACTGCTGCTTGCGGTGTTACTGTGTTGGATTACTCGCGCGTACAAGCAGCGCGCATCACACGCACATGTTTGGAGCGCTTAGCTCATTATTCCTAATTGTACTGGACTATCTGAAGGGAATAAATTTGCCGTTTAAGTTAATAATTATGTATATTATTCATTATATATATATATATATATATATATATATATATATATATATATTCTCATTCACTACCTTTCTGTGATAGCCACCGGTATATTATAGAAACTTCAGTTGTTTAATTTAACTAAAACATAATAAATTGTTTTAATATTACAAAAAGTTATAAGCAATTGTTTTATAACGACTTCTCCCCGCAATTGAATGCGATAATCGTGTACACACTGAATAAATCAATAAACTAAACACAGTCACGTGTACATATACACCTATACACTCACACTTACACACACACACACACACACACACACACACACACACACACACACACACACACACACACACAAAAAAACTCTCTCTCTCTCCCTCGCTTCTTTGACATACAACAACACACACACAGGTTGCACACACTTTTTTTGGAGAAGGTGACATCTATGAAATTTTAGGCTGATGTATAAACGAATGTACAGTTTTCTATAGTAAACGTTATTTTATCTGCAATATTATAAGTGTTTTTGGTTCAGCAATTATTGTACCTGGCAACTAACAAAGCCTCGAGTGTTAAGTGCGCACTGAGAGCCATGCTAAGAGGAGTTTTATTGTACTATATGGGTGGCAAACGAGCACACAATCCACCTGATGGTAAGTGGATGCTGTGGCCCATAGACATGTACGTCTATCCTCGATTAAGAGGCAAAATGCAGATGCGTTATCACCCCGTAAGACTAAGATGAAATGACACGTTTACAGTAAAAGAGTCTCCGGTTCACTACACTCACCATACGAAACATCAGAATTGGGCTACTACTTTACGATGGTATTCTGTTAGATCGTGGTCCTATCCCAGTCTAGTCACTCATTCGTGCTACAACCAAAATATAGCTGAAGTGTTTTTTAAACACCATCCGGCGAAGAAGTACACATAAATGTACACAGTAAGGGATACAATTTGGAGAGTGTACACCAAAATTGAATAACTTAATTCCTACCTCTCCGTTCCATCATCGAACCACCAAACGCTTAGCTGGTCTCCATCCCTTAGTTGTCGAAATACCACGCATTGGAAGCAAAGTAAGCTTTTGCATTTCTTGAGGGGACTACAAGAGCCACGTGACCTCGAATGATGCATGCACACATTTACACAATCAGCGTGAACGCCATGTAACTACAATGAGATTAAACTAACGGATTAGCGAGGTTACGCCCAAATGTTTTAATATATAGAGCGCAAGTAAGATATAGATCTAATAAACAAATAGATTTTTAATCTGAGTGTTACTTGAAAATTTAAGTATGTAGGTGATTTTGAAATAAAACTGATTCAATGAAACTTAAAAAAACATTTTATTTAAGAATTCCTATTAAAAAATTGTCGGAATGGCGCCGTTTATACATCTATATGATTTACATAGTGGTTGTTTTGAAGCGAGTTTTTTTTTCCATATAAATAAATATTCCTCATTTTGAACTTTGCTTCGATTTTACCACATTATTGTTGTATTTGCTACATTTATTAAAATGTATTAGAATAAATTTCTAAATAAATAATTATAACTATAATCTGCACGTCTCTTAAATTAAATTTCAGTTATAAAAGTTCGTAGCTAAAATTAAACAGAAAAATCTACTCTAGTTTTACAAAAATCCGTTGCCAAATGAAACTTTTAATGTTTATACAAAGACTGTATTTGAAATTTTTAATTAACGACTTATTTCATATTCCGAAAGTCTCAGCAAAAAATTAATTTTAATACTGGCGAAAGCATTTTACGTTTCTCGTCCAGCAGTATACGACCGCTTCCTCGAGACTTTTGTTTTGCGGAGAAGTAGTAAACAATCGTTATTAAATTTTCACGGATGTCTTCTCTTAGCCCTTATTGTGGAAAGAGAACGTTTGTAATTTCTCTCGTGTAGGAATGAAACGGAAACGAACTTTAAAAAATGTTTGTAAATTAATCTATGTTTCAGTTATTCAATTTGAAACAAAATTTGTAACAAAATCCTTAAAATTGTTAAAAACTTTATGGATACATTTGTAGAACATGTACTCAAATATACTTTCACGTTTGATACCTTTTTTAAGTTCTAATATATCTTCCAGCAATGTGCGATGGAGTGCAATGCTCTTTTGGAGCTCATTGCGTTTCTGGTGAATGCGTATGTCCAACTGACTGTACGGATGCACCACATGAACCAGTTTGCGGCAGCACCATGCAGACATATCCCAATGAGTGTGAACTTCAGAAAGCGGCCTGCCGATTACTTCCACCAACAACACTTCATGTGATATTCTATGGAGATTGCAAGGACAGACTCGCTGTTGTACCTCCAATAGCAATGAGTGCGTATTATTTTTTCCTATTATACTTCTGTGTTCTTAACAAATACTTTAACACTAACTATTTCATATTTTATTTTAATTTTTATAACCTATGTACTAAAAGTTGTTAATATATCATATTATGTACTTATGGCATTTAAATATTCGATGAACATTTTGGTTAGAGTTGTAAACTAAACATTAACGATGGGATCGTTACTAAGCCCAGTTGTTAGCAGCAATTTAAATATAGCGTATAACCTATCCTTGATCAATTAACTAACTTTCCGCTTTATGGCTCGACTAACACGCAAATATTTGAATGGGTGCGGGTAGCTACGACAGCGATGACCACGACAGAGGCGGAGGAAGGGTCGACAGACGACTGGCGTGCGACTGACCAAGGCGGCACCGTGAATCCTTCAGTATGCCGCGACATCCGATGCGACTTTGGCGCCAGCTGTGAAGTCGGTAGCGATGGCTATCCACGCTGTTCTTGTCTTTTTGAATGTCCAGTCGACGACGAATATTTCCCTGTCTGCGCATCTGACTTTAGACTTTACCCTAGTTTATGTGCTATGCGCAAAGAGGGTTGTCAAAAGCAGTTGGAATTAAGGTTGCGACCTTTGGATTTATGTAAAGGTTAGTTATGAATGCAAGTGATACACATAAGTTTGTAAATAAAATAAAATTGTGTAGAGAGCAGTTTGGATAGATTCTTTCAGTTTACAGTTGTAATATTTGATTATTCAGTGTAATTAATGTATTTTGTTAATCTCAGGTATGGAGGTAAGACCCTGCGGCAACAATAAAGCAATGATAGACCTCACGACTGGTTTAGAAATCGACTGCGGTAATGGACCTCATCGACAAGATTGTCCTGCTGGAAGCTATTGTCATATAACTGTAACAGCTGCAAGGTGCTGTCCTAAAAGTAGGTTTAAAATTGTTATGATTGAATTTTTGGACATCTTGCTTGCATTTGCGCTCATTTACGAAGTACCATTCTATTATGTGTTTTTTTTTTAGAATATTTTTACATCGTAAACTAAACTACATTGTTGTTTAAATTTGGAAAATTAAAAAGTAACAAATATTTTTATAAGAGTACAAGTTATATTTTGACACCTTTATTATATAGTGATATTTATTTAATGTGTAAATATATAAAATGGACAGTTAATAATTTAATTATTTTTGTAGATGACACAAAACAATTGGAAGAAAAGAAAATATTGCTATGCACGGAAACAGAATTCGGCTGTTGTTTGGATGGCACAACTACGGCAACGGGTCCTAATGAGGAAGGATGTCCGATCACGAGCTCGACTTGCGGTTGCAATCGGCTTGGCTCGGTTTCGGATCGATGCGATGATAGCGGTCAGTGTGTCTGCCGTCCCGGAGTTGGGGGACTCAAATGTGACAGATGCGAGCCCGGATACTGGGGGCTGCCTCGTATCGGCTCAGGGCACACCGGCTGCATTCGTACGTATAATTTATGCTTGATGTTTGATATGCATTAAAACAACTTCAGTTCTGCGAACCAAAATAATTCCAAATAATAAATTAAATTTAGGTTCTAATTTAGAAGAATAATTTTGGAATATAATATAAAAACCATTTTAGGGCGTGATGTGACTGTTTTTTTTTTAATTTTTTTAATTAAAATTTTAACTTTAGTCATATTAATTTTTTTATGGATGATAGTAGATTTTTAAGGTTCTGTTAAAGAGCAATTGGACATAATAAGTGAATGAATGTGAATAGTATTCCAATAGCGATATCTGCGATTTGACCAGATTTTTTTTTATTTCTTACCCTAAAACATTAATAACGTTTTTAGCATGCGGTTGTTCAGCGTTTGGTTCGGTGAGAGAGGATTGCGAACAAATGACAGGCCGTTGTGTGTGTCGCGCTGGTGTGCAGGGACAGAAATGTACTGTGTGTGCTGACCATCGCCGGCGGTTGGGACCTAATGGATGCTCAGATCGTGAGTATTTTTCTGATGTTCATTATAATGGGTGCGTTTGGCAGATAAAAGCTCTAGCAAGCGCTTACAAGCGGTAAAATAGTTTTCGACCAGGACACGATTGCTACTTCAGTAGCGCTGACACAATCCGCCATTTTGCTTATTTAATTTGTTTGTTTTGAAGTAGAGTTTATAAGTTGTTTTGTCCAATATTAGTTTTAATTAATATAATGATGAATAAACATCAAATTCACGATTGGTAAGTTTTTAATATGAATACTTTACAAACATATATTTAAATTAGGTTAGGTTCCCCCGGTTAAAACTAACATCGTGTCCTGGAGGAAAATAGATACTTACGATTTGACAGCGCTTACCCCTTACGATCGCCATTTTGCTTACAAGCGCTTGCTAGCGCTTTTTTCTGCCAAACGCACCCAATATTTTAGTTCTGATCTAAAAATTTTGAATACATCGTTACGTTTACAGCCAATTAAATTCCACTGAAATACATCCCTTCACGGGTGATATTTACCTTAGTTGCTACGCTTATCAAGTGGGTTGACAACCGCAAATTTTATTTTTAGTCGTTATTAAAAAGACGCCGCTGCCCATCTCTTCATTGGTTTTCCTCTGTTGCCTCTTACGACACACACAGGATGATATGAGGTATTATATGAGGCATAATATAAGGTGGATATTCTTACACCGCTACTACATTCACTCACACACAATTTTTATTATACTTCTTCTTTATCATCCCGTAAAATTCCACCGCTTAGTCGTCACGCTTGGCAGGAGACTGACCGTCTCAGGACAGGACAGGATTATATTGCTCGAGTGTATGCGCAAGTACAGGTGCACTGCATTTCTCATAAAAGTAAAGTAAGTAAAGTTACAGCCTATATACTTCCCACTGCTGGGCACAGGCATCCTCTCATTTCTGCGAAGGTTTCAGGGCAAGGAATAGTCCGCCGCGCTGCCCTAATGCGTGTTGGCGAACTTCACATGTCTTCGAAATATTTTTTATTTTATTTCTCAGAGATGCAGGTTTCCTCACGATGTTTTCCTTCACCGCCGAGCACGTGGTAAATCAGCAATTAAAATTGCAATTAACAATTTCATTGGTGCCGGCGGAGATCGAACCCGGTTTGCTCGCGTATTGTGAAATTTACAGCGAGCGCTAAACATCTGAGCTACCACGGCTCTCGTATTTCGTATTTCTCATAGTATGATGAAATTGTAACCAACACGACCGGTGAGAAATCAGGTGCATAACCAACAGCTTCACGTGATTTCCACGTGACTCCGGGCTATTATTGAGAATTTTTTGACCGTGTATAATTGATTTTGGCCCGACTGTATTGTATTTGAAGTCGCAACTAAATTAAATCGTAATTTACTACAGGATAGTTGTCCTCAAGATTGACTAAGTTTTGTGTATTTTGTTAGCTGAAGAAGGGGGGGTAGTGGATTCATGTGCAGATTTGTCTTGTTACTTCGGAGCGGTGTGCACTGAGCGCACAGGCGGCGCGCTTTGCGAGTGTACCGCCGCACCTTGTCCCGAGAGCGACACTAACATGCTGGTATGTATGTATAACTCTAACAGATCTAGCTTACTTAGAACTGCATATTATGTCTTTTAGCCACAAATGCTACCTTCTCTTTCAGCTCTCTATACGCCTGTTACCAGGTTTAAGTGTTTGTTATTTCGATGACAATGCAATTACAATATTTAATATAAATCTAATTATAGCAGATTGTGTAGAACTATGATTGCATCCATTTATCTTTCTTCTTTACTAAACCGGGATTTTTTTTTAATAAAAGACAAATTGTAAATTTTAGTAACAGTATACCTATAACATTTAAGATTATACGTTATTATATGACTTATTGCTGGTGAGGGTATTGTTGTTTGAGAGATCGATGCTTATTCCGTTATTGAAAGGAAGGGAATTTTGTTATGTCGCTATTACATGGAAAACTTTAGTTAATAACTAGATAATTAATTTTCCGTGGGTCATTCTTGTTGGACTCAGCTAAAAAGCAATTTTACTTCAACAATAGCAATATGCCGAGCTAGAAATTATTGCTCATTATTACATCGCATGACATTTATTGGTTAATAAAGAACGAGGAAAATTGATTAAAGTTGATTATACAAGTTGTATTACGTACAAAATAGGTTTGACGTTCTAGTTTGTAATTTCCTTAAAACATTAGAGCATTAACCGTAATAAAAATTCATGATTTCCCGTTCGTATCCTATAATGTTAGTACGCGCTCCCACGACAAATTTCGTGTAAGCCGGCACTTTAGCCACCGCCGTCACAACATACAATAATACCAACAGGTATGCGGGAGCGATGGCAAAACATACGAGTCTGAGTGCCACCTCAAATTGCAAGCTTGTCGCACGCAAGAGGATATTGTAGTCCAAGCTTTTGGTCCATGCAAACTATCTGAAGTACCAGGAACGGCTGGACCTCCACGGCCTTCATCACCGATACAATTTACGCAACAAGACGACGGTGCAGCATCTAAATCTACAAGGCATTTACTCAATCCTGACAAATACTATAATAAATATGACTGGAACAGGAAGGAAACACCCAGCGATTTCGATAGCTTACTGTCCGGGCAGAAATTTAAAGGTAAGCAAATTGAATCTATAAATTATACCCTACACTTTAAATTATATCAATTTCTTTTAGCGAACTAGTTATGACTAATAATTATATTATCTTTTATTGTAATGATAAAAGCAACTAAAAAGGAAAAGCGAAAAAATATATCACAAACGTGTAGAAAGCTTTGGAAATCATTTGGATTTCGCGATGTGCCTTAATCACGCTAATTATGAACAGATTACAGTTAGTGTGAGAAGATTCCCTCGTTATTTCTGACACAGATGCTTAAGGATATTACTTCATTAAAGTAACGTATAAAAATAATTTTCTCACGTAAAAGCCTGTAATTAATTATTATATCATATATAACAAACCAACAGTAACCCTATAAGTTAAGGGTGCGGATTGCAAACTTAAAAAATCTGAATGTTTCTAATGTTAAAGGTGTTGTAGTAGGCGTACCTATTCTTTAAGAGTAAAGTATTAAAAGATATATTGAAGTAATAATATTTTATTATAATTAAGTATTATAGTAAACTCCTATTTTTTATGAGAGCAAGTTACTAGAACTCGTGAAAAGTTAGTGTAATACCAAACTATTACAGAGAGCCACATGAGAGCATAATCGGGAGTTTTAAAAGCCGTAAAATGTCGTCAGAAGTTTTGATTAAAGCTACAAAGAAGTTTTTAAGGAAAGCAATGTTTGAAATAAATTTTTAAGAAATTGAATTATGTCTGTGTTACTACAAATTAATACAATCATAATAATAATAATCATTGCAGCCATTCAAATGTTCACTGCTGAACAGAGGTCTTGCTTGAGACGTGGTCTTTCACGTGAGGAAACTCAGGGTCGCTCTGCAAGCTATGGAGAGGTCTATGATCGGGGTTTCTCCGCGTGATAGACTAAAAAATGAGGATATATGTAGTAGAACCAGAGTAACTGACATAGCCCAACGGTTTAATAAGCTGAAGTGGCAATGGGCTGGCCATGTAAATCGAAGAACCGATAATCTATAGGGAAGAAAATTTCTCGAGTCAGCCTTGTACAAGTAGGTGAAGTGGGCGGCTCCTCATTAGATGTAGTAACGACCTGGTAAGACATGCAGGAAGTCTGTGGATGTAGGTGGCTCAGGACCGTGCTTTGTGGCATTCCTTGGGGAAGGTCTTAAGATTAATATAAATTTATGTATTTATCAGAAAACGAAATTAGGTTCATTATGTATTTTATTATATTGTTGAGGAAATAATTTGAATAAAATAAAGTTACATGGAAAATAATATTTAGTATGTAGTGTTATTTTTATTATTATGTTTAAAGTTGTTAATAACACTAAATAAGATAGAAAATATAAATCAAACAAAAAAGGATAGTTTTCTAACATCTAATACGTTAGAAGTTACAATGTATGTCTTTATTCGAATAGGTTACCAATAACGTAATTCACTCATCATTTGAATAGGTTACCATACATTAAGGTAAGGAATAACGCAGCACTGTAAATTGCCATTCCATACGTGCTTTTATAGCAAATGCTGACTTCTCAGAACAGAAAGAGAACCCACTCACTCTGTTTCTTGAATTCACCCTTCATGTCCTTGTCATGTTTACCATCTCTAGATTACATCACATTTAAATAAACAAGCTCATCCACTTGTTCAACCAACTCCTCTTCCATTCTTTTTTACATATTTTTACTTTCTTCTCTTTCAAAAATCATCACATTCGTCTTACTTTGCGTTCATATTCATCCCCATTTTTAACAACACGATAATGAAATCGATACCTCCTAAGTATAATGAGTCAACTGACATTATAGTAATTTTATAGGAGAGCGATTTGAAGGCAATTCGTTTATATTTTAATGAAATCAAACTAATACGAAATAAATTAAATGTTTTTTTTTTAATAAAGATTGCAAGCTCTTCCTTTGGTATAAAATGATTTTGCTGATTTTTGTTTTTAAATGACATTTTATGTACATAGCTTGGTATACGCCAGCGGGTCTCAATAGTAAAATGGTTTAACTACCAGTTATATTCATGTACGTTGTACATCAAAATCCTTGGTTTACACTAAAAATATTATAAATATGATTGTCATTTTATTAATACGAACTTAATTTTGATTTTTTTCGGGATGTTCTGTCTCATTTAATAATAAAACGTTGAAATTACATCACTTAACTCATTATACTAGGAAAGTACTAAGCTATGTTAGCATTTGAAACTTCGACGTATACTGGACTAATATACTTTAACGAGGCTTGATTAAAACTACTTTTACGGATTTTATCGCGTTTATTTTTACTTTTTATTTATAATTCCCGACGTTTCGGGCGCTTTCCAGCACCCATAGTCACGGGGGACTGAGATGACTGACGTCCCGATGTCATTGTTAAACCCGGAGTACCTTCAGCTTTTTTAATTGTTGTTTATGGTCCGGTCTATGGTCCGAACAATAATTAAAAAAGCTGAAGGTACTCCGGGTTTAACAATGACATCGGAACGTATATCTTCGTGTAATAATCCGTAAAAGTAGTTTTAATCATGTGCAATGTTCGCGTAAATATAAGAAATCATTATTTTAACGAGGCTTTTTAATTACTTATTTTATTTCTAATACTTTCCGAAATATGGGATTAATAAAGGCTAGGAAGAAGAAGAATCCTAAACAAAAACAGCGCATTTTAAAAAATCACAATGTATTTTTCACTATAATTAAGTAGGACTGAATATGTTTTTTGGCCTTAGTAAAAGCTACAAATTGAACAAATCAACAACAACAAATTATCAAACTTGTATCATTAAAGTTATATAAAAACAACAAACAATCAATTAAAACTTAAACAGGTATACTTCTCTAGTAGGTCAATAAAAATATTAACAACTAAAAATGGTAACTTATGTTAAACAATATTAATAAAGTGAATAGAAATGAATAACATAAATATATAATAAAGTACAGGCTATTGTAATGCTCAAAAATAGCTATAAAGTTTAACAAAAGAAATAAAAATTTTAAAGGTTAAAAAATCATTCTGAATCGCTGTCATCAGCTGCATTAGAATTAGTTGAAATCAAATTATTAAAAAATAAATGATACTCTTTAGGAATTACCAGCGTTTTACAAAGATCCTTCAAATCTTTGTGCTTATTTTGGTCTATAGGAATGGGTGTCTGATAAGCTAAAGAAATATTATCTATATCAATATTCAACTCTCTTCGATTTCGTGTAGCTTTAAGTTTCTTTGCACAATCTATCCACTTGTAAGCATCGTCTTGGTAACTCGTTTTATAAAACACCCTAAATGGATTTTCTGCTTTAACTACTACTTCCGTTACTTTATTCCAAGGCATTTTAGATCCATCATTAGTAGTTGTCCAGTTGTTTATAAGTTTTAGCTTTGATTTGAAGTCTTTTATTAAATCCTGAGACACTTCGATAACTTTGTATGGCTTTTCATCGGATTTGGCGAATCTAAAAGCTGTATACCATTGACCAGGCGTATAAAGTATTTTATCTTTCGTCTGTCTTTCAATTAAAGCGTGCATACTGTCGCCTTCATTTTGCGTGTGACCCACTATTAGAAACCGATGCCTGATATCTATACTAAACTTCGAACTAGCTAACATATACATTAGGAAAACAATTCTGTTTCTATTTTGGCCTCCACAGTTGTCTGACCAGAACCGGTAATCTTTGACTCCTTCACCCACCGTATCTTCTATAAACTTAAAAACACAGCTGGAAATTTCATTTGCACCTCTCTTTGCTGTCTGTTGATGCCATGAAAAACAATAACCTTGGTAAGATCCCAGATTGAATATTGTGAAATTATACAAAGAAAGTTTCCGTTTATAATAAAAAGTTCTTACGTTCCCGTGGGGTACATTAAGGCACTTTTGAAGATCAAATGCTGCTGTAAGAATTTCATTATTTTGTAACGCTAATTCTTTATCTTTTCTTTTCATTTTTCTTGCTATCTCTTTTTCTTTCAAATGCTCTTCATGCTTCTTTTTATCTGTCTGTGTAACTTGCTTGTTATTTTCATAAATGTGGCATTGTTCACAAACATCTTTTTTGGGTTTATGAAAACCTGTATTGATATTTTTATTAATGATATCTCGGTATTGTCTTACGGTAGTCGCTTTAGAAGAGTATTTATTAGAATCAAACCATTCATTATATAACTTAAACATTTTTGGAAAGGATAAAGGGCTCTCAAGATATTTTCTACTCGATTTTTGGCGAGTGTAATGTGATTGTACAGGAGAAAATGCTTCAACGTGGTCTATGCTGCGAACGATATCTTCATTGATAATCTTTGGATGATTAATATGCCTTCCACGCTGATCTGCTTCAATAAATCCATTTCCTTTATCGTACTTTTCTAAAGCTGTGTAAATAAAATTAAAACTAATAGAAAGGGTTCTTAGGAACATAGTTTTGCAAACCGATATTTTTGTAGACTCAATATTATCTCCTTGACTGCTTGGAAGGTAATAAGAAATAGTGTGAAGACGTTTTGAATTTTCTCTATCCAGAGTAAATCTCTTTTTTTCAGATCTTACAGCATATCTTGCCAAAAAATCCCATTGTCTTGAGTGGTCTCCAATACTCCAAAATATATCAAAATTCTTTGCCGAATATCTTCTGCTAATTTCTCACTGCATTTTTACCGACAAGTTACGGGGCAAGAAGTTTTCATAGTTCTCTTACTATGTACTCTTCCGTTTCTACTGACATATTCCAAACCTCTATTAACATTATATTTTCTATCCTGATCCTTCCATTTTTTATGAAAACATTCTCTTAGCCTTCCTTTATCTTTTTTAGTAATGGAAGTCCGCTTACGACGTTTGGCGTTATTGGACGGTGAGTATGTGATATCATTAATATCAGATGCAGGAGAGGCGACCGCAGGACTATCATTTAACTCAAAATTAACAGGTGATGGGGCAAAAGAATTATAAGGCGATGGTCATCATCATTCTCTAAACCATTTCCCATTATCTGGGGTCGGCGCAGTAAATCTTCTTGTTCCATTCCTCTCTATCAGCCGTCATTTCCATAATTACTCCTTTCATTCTCATATCACTCTTCACACAATCGATCCATCTTTTATTCGGCCTTCCTCTGCCCGTGTATCCCTCCACATTCATATTCAACACTCTTTTTGTGACATGACTTTCATCCCTCCGCATCACATGCCCAAACCATGCCAATCTGCTTCCTCTCACCTTTTCTACCACTGGCGCTACTTTCAGGCTTCCTCTTATATACTCATTCCTTATCTTATCCATCCTTGTCACACCACACATCCATCGTAACATTCTCATTTCATTCGCATGCAGTCTATTTTCATCCTTCGATGGTATTGGAGTAATATCACCATAGACATAATTTTCAATAATGCTATTCTGGATGGGCGAATTTCCTGGAGTGTTTTCTATGACTGACGGCGATCGATCTCCTTTTTGAGTTCTACTATCACTATTCGGTACACAAGGCGAGGAGCAAGGAATATCATCCGGGAATAATATGGAAGCGTTAGAAGGGATATTTTGCAATACATCCTTGCTTTCATTTAAATCAACATCATCAAGTATTGATAGCTCCTCCTCCGTAAAATTTGCATCAGGTGGCAGTGGAGACTCTAAAACAATGATAATTTAAATTAAAATACAAGAATTCATATTTTTGTATTAAACATGCCAATTACAATTAATAAAACATATAACAGATAAAAATATATTATAACATAATTAACACAAAAATATCAAAAATTGAATAAGTACACTATTATACACATATGAGTCAAGTGTCTTCTATATAAAGTTTGTTCACCGTATACTGGTGTAACAGCAGTTGTATGAGTATACGGCGTACTAAGCGACGTGAACAACAATTATCAAAGAAAAGCAACAAAATCACACTTATACACATAAAGATAACTTACCATCTCTATCCCTGTTTTGCATTATATTATCATCGATTCTTGTGTTATTGTTTATTGTATCATTGGTATTATTCACATTGAGAGTAACACTGCAATATGTTTCTTATATTAATTAAAAATATAAAACAATATAAAACAAATACATCTACATTTACTTTATTCACTAACTTTACGAAACAAAATATTAACTAAAATTACGTGTGCACTCGCCGCCGTTCATCGAATACTGAGCCACAATAAACTTATATCAATGCGTCACCCCTCACGTCCCGCGTACATTGGTACAATGTTATTTGGATCAGTATACAATGTACGATTTTAAATGATGTTGAAATTGATTTAGTATACGTGAAATTATCTCGGTAATTATCATAATTATTTTAATTTTTTTAGCACTAACATTAAGATCATGGTTTATTTTGTAAGTTTATATAAAAATAATAAAATACCTAAATTTGTTAGATGACTCAGTATACTTAAGAGGTATCGAAATGTAGGTAACCATCATTCGTAACACGCTCGTCGACGACGCAAATATGTTTTGATTGTAGGCGTATAAAAAGTTTTTAACCTATTCTTAACACATATTCTTCGACTTTCAACTTTCCAAACAACAGTCCATAAACATATTGAACAGCCATGTGAAATATTAATTATAATTATTTAAAAAATAAAATAAAATATGTTATTTATAAATTTAATATTATTACTAATTTAGACAGATATTTAGAAATTCCTTATATGTTAAGGTAGTAAATTTTAATTTAAAAATAAGAACATGATTTATTGCAAACTTTAAAATTTTAATCCTGCGCCGATTTTTTTTGCAAATACTGTATTATATAATCACTATTTAGGGGTTTAATTAAAATATATGAAGTAATTTTAAAAAGATAATCGTAGGAGAAGTGTTTTATCTTTCTTACGTTGTGCTTAAAGTCTAAGGTACAGTAATGACATTAGGTTCGCAAACAGCGACAACGGCAACAGTGGGAGTTGTTGGCGCACTGTTGGGTGACTTGTGCACTGAGGATTTGGACTGTTCTGCTTTGCCGGGAGCATACTGTGCTCATGGCGGTTGTATATGCCGACCCGGATTTGAACCAACCGTATACAGAAAAGCTTGCATAGGTAAGTTTACGATAAGAATAATATTTTCTAGCTTATTTTTTGTCCACCTTCCTATTATTAGTTATAGGTTAGGTAGTTAGGTATTAGGTATAGGTTCAATGCAGCGAACATATTTATATAACATATACATATAAGATCTATTCTGTCTCATTACCTGTATTCACAAATAAATAAATTTGAATTTGAATATATTAATATTAATAAAATAAATATTAAGCGTCTTTACTAGTTAGCTTGCAGATATAATTATCAAAATAATTGATTATGTTTATACACCAAGCTGTTGTATACATTTTGTGTAATATGCAAATGGTAGGTTCTGCAGGTCTGGATAAATTGTGACTGTTGCCATATCTCTGATATTGTAGGCTAGGCTTAAACCAAAATTTCGAAGATAGATCAAAACGAGTGAGTGCCGTCCGCGTTCAGTTGTGGCATCTTCGTCTATAACACTGCGTATTTAAGAGAATCTTCTTAGAAGAATTCTTAACGTAGTCTTTGCGATCGTTATGCTAGATATGCGGTAGCTTATAGTAATTAAATCATTTTAATACTTATTTTACAGAAAAAGTTACGCAAGAAACAACAGAGGAGTATAGTGCCTGTTTGTCTGAACCTTGTCATAACCTTGGCACGTGCATTGATCTACCCGGTTCTACGTACACGTGTGTCTGTACTAGTCTCTATACCGGTTTAAACTGCGAAGAACTTATTAAAGAAGGCTTACCGAATCCATATATCGAAACTCCATCATTTGACGGCACGTCTTACATTCGCATGAAACCACTGAAAGCGTACCATAAATTAAACATCGATATAGAATTTAAGGCCTTCTCAGATAATGGAGTTATACTGTATAATCAGCAAAAACTCGATGGTACTGGAGATTTCGTCTCGTTGGCATTAGTTAACGGATATTTAGAGTTTAGGTAAGTTACATAGTTTCATTTTAAGTTTGTACACCTGAAAGCTATCATTCGTCAAAGCCTTTAACAGTCCACAGCTGAACATAGAACTCCCCCATATATTGCTTTCTAGAGGGGATATTTGCCGTAATTGTCACGCCTAGCATGCGTATCAACAAACGCAGTTTTTTATTTTTAGTTGTAGTTAGAAAGGCGCTGCTGCCCATTTCCTGGTTTGCTCTGTCGCCTCCAACGACACCCTACGGGAATATATAGAGTAGTGAATATTCTTACACTTCTACTACATGGTCGAAAGTCATCATTATCAGCTCGTTAAAGTCCATTGCTGATCATATGCTTCTCCCGTTGTGGCGAGGATTCACCTTAATCTAGATCGCACTAATAGACCCCTCACACTTTTGACACTGCTGTTCATCTCTGTTTAGAGTACTTTACACCCCACGCCATTTAATATGTGATACTCCTTTTTTACACAGGAGTTCGTCTTGGTATCAGCCTCTTACCTATTCCTGCCGTCAAAAAACAACGCTTTCTCTGCTGTGTTCTGGTCTAAAAACTATGAATAGAGCTAAATTACAGGCTCTGAGGCATTTAAACTTAATCTTAGTTTAAAGTTAGCTGCCGTTGTGCATTTATAGCCACTTAAAACTTACCACTTACGTTTGTCAATTTAGTTTTATTAAAAAAAGACGTAAATGAAATAGTAATACCACCATCTTTTGAAAGGCACTGGATATTTATAGGATATCGCTTGATTTTTACGACACCTACGTTACGATATGGGGTGATGTACGTATCATAGACAGGGTCTCAAAGTAAATTCTACAATAATCTTTAGTAAAATCTCAATTTTTATAGGGTTTTAAGTGCTTATTAAAGAGTTATTTAGAAGAGTATATAGAGAACTTTCTGTTTATACAATATTTAGTAATTTATTACATTCATTCATTCCATTAAAATAGGATAAAATGCAAATAATATTTGTATACATATGTAATATTAAGTTGTGCTCGGGCCACACTAACGCTTAACGCCGTTAATTATCGCGTTAATGGGCACTAGACATAGGCGTAGCCCCTATTTAACGCACTAATTTTGTAATTTGTAACAATACGTTTTACCATAATGTCTTTAAACGTTAGGCGACAACTTAAGAGGTGGTTTTTATGACACATCAAAGACATTTGGTGCGTTATTTAATGCCTGAGGTAGCCACACTAGCGCATTTCAGTCAGTGTCGTGAATCCATCAGGGTCAAATGTGGATATTAGTTTTTATGTGACTGAATATTGAAAAAGTTTACAACACGATATTCAATGTTTATTTTATCCGCGTCAAAAGAGTCGCAAAAATCGCAATGCTCAAAACAACGCTTTTGCACTCATATAAAACCCACAAAATGATAGTGACTTTAACGTCATTTTAAAAGTTAAACTTTAAAATAAAAGTAAAAGTTGACTTTAAGGAACTAAAATAATCAAATAATTTCATATTCAGAAGTCGGTGCTATATTATAGTTTATTAGAAGAATTTAAGCACCTTTTTCTTTTAAATTATTTAATTACGAACACTAAATTTTTTAAGCATTATTATACAACAAATTTGTTTAAAGAAACTGCTATTTATTTCCTTGTCAGATATAATCTTGGTAATGGAGCAATTATTTTAACATCCCTCGAAAAAATTACACTCAACGAATATCACAAAGTGTCAGCGAAGCGATACCATCGTGACGGTATATTATCCGTTGATGATATGGAAGACGTTGCGGGACAATCAAGTGGCACCTTGAAGGCCTTAGATCTCGCAGATGATACATATATTGGCAGTGTTCCAACAAACTTTTCCAGGTGAGTATTTACTTATTTCTACCTCTTTGCTTTATCTTTGATTACGGACTTATTCTCTGTCATTAATAGCTTTCTCTTTCAAAAAAAAAAACAATCATAAAGTAATGAATGCCTTTAACTAGGGTTTTTGATAACATCGGCACCCGGAGCGGCTTTGTCGGCTGTGTGAAATACTTGAGAATAATACGTCATCAAGTGACAAAGAAATTGGGCCGACCGGACTCATTAGTCGTCTCTATAGAAAACGTTCGGGAGTGCCAATCTAACCCTTGTATGAGTATGCCGTGTAGAAACGGAGCTACATGTAAACCTATCGATGGATCAGCAACAGAATATATATGTATGTGTGCAATCGGATTTCAAGGAGCCAATTGTGAGGAGAGATTAGATCCGTGTGAATCGAATCCCTGTGGATATGACGAAGGTCTATTGTGTGACATTGGGTCCGAAGGACGACACGTATGTCGCTGCTTATTTGGAGGTGAAATTGGCTCTAATGGAAATACTTGCAGTAATGGTAAACATTTCTTATTTTTGTGTTTATTTTTTTAATTTTCAGTACACTAGCTTAATAAGATTATTTTACAGATGTCAATGTTGTACAAGAAACGTGGTCACCTCAGTTTAATGGTACAAGCTATATAGAATTACTCCCACTCGAAGGCTTGGGTAAAGCGTTCCGCATCGAAATTTGGTTTTTAACGAATCGATTCTCTGGAATGCTCCTCTATACAGGCCAATCCAATAAAGCCAGGGGGGATTTTATTTCGATTAACTTAGTTAACGGCTACCTACAGTTTCGATACAATTTGGGTAGCGGGATCGCAAACATCACGTAAGTATGGTCTTAACTTAAAACAAATTAACAACATTCTTAACAACTTCCCTGTTCCGTGAGTCATAATATGAACATTTCGGTAGTTAAATTATTAGGCATATTTCGCGGACAGGCGAAACTTTGAAATTTTATCACCTTTAAGTTAAAAATGCCTGTTTTTCAACACTCGATAAAAATTTATTTGTGACAGATAGTTTTAAAATCTGATACGTTTAATGTAGTTGTTTAAAACAAAACTGAATAAATATATGTATTCTTAATGTATACTACATTAGTATATTCTAAGATAATATCGCGCGTATGTATCGTATAAGTTATAATTATATCCAATTAAGACTATGTAAAATTTTTGACGCAGTTCGTCCGTACCGATTACCAAAGGTCGCTGGCACCGGGCGCGCGTCACACGTGTAGGGCGTCACGGCAGCCTTCAGCTCGACCATCACCCTGCACAGAGGGGACATTCGGCCCCACCATTGACAAATCTAGAACTCACTTTACCGATCTTCATAGGTTCCTTACCGTAAGTATTGATTCAAATATGCTTAAGAAATAAACTTTCGTACTTATTTAATTTTATGTCATAAAAGTAACTGCTAAAAGCTTTGAATATCGATTCCGATATTTCTTTTTAATTGGAATTTTTTATTTAAAGCTTTGTGATTTCCGTTCCAATATAATAATATTAGTTTTATGAAAAGTAAGTCTACGATAACAGACTTTTATACACTGCTAGCCGTTACTCGTCCACTTTGCTGGCGTAAATTGAACTTCAACAATAATTGTTATTAAAAATCCTATTCTACGCGATAATCGACTTATATGCCAAATTTCATTGGAATTATAGATTTTCTGAAAGAAAAACACTCAAATAAACATTTTTTCACATTAATAATATTTAGTAAGAAATAAAGTAGTTTTAGAAAATTTCATTTCATATTTTCTTCATACGTAGGAAAGCTTACGCATACGCTTAATATGTAACCGTATCTTTAATAATAAATTAAATGAAGAAAATAATACAATCATCCATCCATTACAGCGAATAAAAGTTCACTTCTAAACTATAACACCAACCTCACAGATTGCCTCATTAGGGGATTTTGCCATAGTTGCCACGCTTGGAAGGTGGCTAGGTTATTTTGAGCTGTTATTAGGAAGATGTACTGTTACCTCTTACGACACACACAGCACGATATAATTAGTGTGTGTAATAATACATAATACATAAACACTCACGCCTGTCACCCAGAGGGGTAGGCAGAGACTACAGACTTCCATTTGGCATGATCCTGACACACCTCTCTCGCCTCCTTCACATCCATACACCTACGCATACATGCTCGTTGGTTAAGGGTACTCCTAATTTTGCCCGTTTTCAATAAATCGCCAATTTGGTCGATAAATATTCGCCTAGGACGTCCCTTTCCGACTCTGCCATTCACTTCTGCAACATAAATTTTCTTTGTCACTCTTTCCTCATTCATTCTTTCCACATGACCAAACCACCGAAGCATTCCTTTCTTAATCCTGGTCACAACATCATCTTGCCAACCACACTCTTCTCTTATTACACAATTTCTTACCCTGTCGTTCAGATTCAGCCCTAACATACTCCTTAAGGACCGCATTTCTACTGCGTTGATTCTACTCTCGTGCTTCTTCTGCCACACCCAACTTTCACAACCATACGTTAAAGTAGGGACCAACACAGCATTGTGAATTACCATACGTGCCTTTTTTGACACATTTTGACTATTCACAATAGAGTGCAGGGCCCCATTTACTCTATTTCCCGTGTAATAATGTTTATTTAATGAAATTTTTAATCTAATGATATCAATACAAACAGACATTAATTAAAAAAATACTCTTATGTGTGATATATTAAATTACAAAACTGCATTTCAAATAACTTAGCGTTGACGGCTTTACTACTATAAAGTGTGTTTCAGCCGTCAGCGTCTTCCAACCAAAAACACGCCAATATAATTAGAAATTACTTTGAATATCTACGAAATTAAAGTTCATTAATTAATAAATTCATTCATTTATTCTTGGGCTGTAATGAATGGATGAGTGGAAAATATCGACAGGACACGTAGTCTATGCAAAAACATAAGTTATTGTGCCCTAGTTCGTCTTGGGTCTTATATGACTGTCAGGTTAGGCCGAGTGTATGCAATGGCTATTATCACCTTTGCAGTGGATTATCATAGTCTTCAGAAGTGGTCGTATAGTTGTAAATTGTTGGAGATTTTTTTAATTATGTCAATACTTTTAAACGAAAAGTTGATTGATTTTTATAATAATGACTCTGGATCGACACCAGCCGAATTCTCAGTGCACGACTATATAGGTACAGGTGCACTCATTAATGCTTTACTCTCATAGTACAACGATAGAGCAATCCGTTATACTGTGTGCACATTTGTCAGTTGTATATAGTTTCTCTGTGGTAGAGTCACGCTGCGACTATATTATGGTTTTAGCATAGTGAGTCAGGAACCCGTAAAGAATATCAGCGTAAAATACTAGTTTAATGCTGCCGTGTTTTGTATGGTGAGTGTAGAGAACCGAAGACTATTTTTACCGGCAGCGAGGCATTCCATTTTAGTCCTCAGAGGAGTGAAAAACCATCAACTTCCAGACTACAGGGCCGCTACTGAGAGTTTGTTGTCAGAAAAATCCAAAACCTTTTGGCTTACTTGGGATTCAAATACAGGACTCACTACAATAACGAGGCAGTTGATAAAATTCTTTAATAATACATATCGACTTCAATTATCACCTGAACTGGTCAACGTTTATATTATGGCACCATTATCCTTTATCGGTAAATAAAAATGTCGTAGATTTATTATAGTGCTACTACATACCTTTAAAAGATCATATGCAAAATGAATAACAAATTAATAACCTCACTGATTATACCACTCATTATTTTTAATATGGAATTAACAAACTTATATTTAATAAAATTCTAGTGTGTGTTCCTACAAACCCTTTTTCCATTAAAATTCCGTCATAAGGGTTGAAACACATTTAGGAAGTCATCAATCTTATATTTCGACCCACGAGATATTTGAATCTGGGCCCTTTTTTCAGAGCATACATCCGTCCCCATAAAATGTCAGGAGTGACTAGCAGTTTTATAGGCGCTATGCAACAAGTATTCGTGAACGGCAATCCACTTGCTTTGTATAATGCTGACACAGCTAAATGTGCTATAGTACAGGAGGAATATCGATTGCCTTGTGCTACGAGTGGCATAACGAAGTATACTGGACCACCATGTGGTGACGGTAAGCTTACATCACATAAGTATATAATAAATTGTATAATTTGTTAAATGTTTGTTTAAAGTTTTACAAATACGTTAAAAAACAATTTTGGATTTGTTGTAAGGTTTGACTCCTTGTAAAAATAATGGATCCTGTATACCTTTACTGAACGAGTATAAATGCATTTGTCACGATGGATTCCAAGGAAGAAATTGCGAAGTGCAATTAAAAGTAGAAATGCTTAATGACGGAGCGCCCATTAAGTTCGACGGAAATGATTATTACTCGTACAGAAGCAAAGGAAATCGCAGGTGAGGGAAGCGATGTAATTTTTATCCTTCAATAACTCTCTCACTTAAAGCATTACCACCTAACGTTATAACTTTTTGTTTAATATATTAACATACCTTTCAATAACCTTTTCTCTATATTTTTAGCTCACAAACTAACAAAGATGTTGGTGATGGACTGTATGATGTAAGATAGCATACAAAGGATGAATCGATCTTTAAAATTTAATTAATACTTAACAGAACTCCAGCTGTAAATTAGATTAGGTAAATTGTAAATTTTAGACTATAATATTTTATAAATTTACAAAGGTCAATTAATTGTTTTGTAATGTCTTTTTAATATTAAACACAAGGGCATTTGCTAATTGAAAATTCTTGACTTATTTTCTAGCTTTGACTTAATTTTTAGCTTAAATAATAATGTGAAGTTAAAATAATTAATACAGTAATTCACAAAACATGAGTTAATGGTTTAAATTTTATCAGAGTCAATGTTTCACTTCTTACGTGTAAGTCATTAATTGTAGTTAAGCGTAGATATAATTTCACGTTACCACTTTTTTCTTTTCCTTCTTTAAGTAAATGTTTTTCAAAAACCTTACACTATGCAATACGTCATCTTTTTTCTTAATTTTAGGAACCGCGATATTCGCGGCATTAGATATGAAGTAAAATTCCGGACTTACAACGACTCAGGCCTCTTACTATGGAGACGGAAAATCGGGATACGCCCTCGTGACTTTATTGGTCTCGGCCTAAGTGAAGGTAGACTTCAACTGATCTACACGGACACCGATATGAAGGAGATAAATTTAGCATCACATGAAGATTGGTTCCAGTCTATTGAATCTAAAATACGAGTAGATGATGGATTGTGGCATACTGCCATGGTCAGACGAAGGAAGAGGCTTGCAATGCTGCAAGTAGATGACGCCCCGCCTGTTAGAGGGTACTCACAGTCAGTATTAGTACCCTCGAAAGCGAACCCTAAATTATGGATCGGTACGATAATTTTTCTTAATAAATCGAAATTATTTTTATGTTTTATGTTTAGGTTATGAATGTGTAAAAATTAAATTTAGTGTTAATCATTATTGGAAAGTCTGAAATTGAAATTGAAATATATCACTTGTAAAATTTAATTAATATATATAATATTTTAATCTAATTTTATGCGTTTTTGTCTTTCTGAAGGAGGTTCACCGTCGCTGCCGCTCGGACTTCCACCATCACTCTACACAGGTCTACGTGGTTGCGTCGCCAGTGTTAAATGTGGAGGAAGATATTTAAACCTCAAAACACCAATACGACCGGCGACTAAGATACGACATTGTGATTAACATACTATAAACGTTATCGAGACATAAAATATTTAAGGTAGCATTGTGTCAATTCATTGTATAGATGAGAGAAATTAAAAAAAAGTATTATTTTCTACTTCCGTTGAATTATCTTGAATGTACCTGTCTAAGATGCACCTGCCGATACATATCTATGCCTAGAAGCGGTTCATTTTTTAATCGGTTCTATTATTAGGGTTTTGTATTTTTAATGTCATTTACGTAAACGAAAATCTACACAAACTTTTTATTATTAAATCAAAATGAGATTAATCACGTCTTTAACCAAAAGATATTGTTGCCATATAACGATAAGTGATAGATTTAAGTGTATATAGATTTTAAATAAATGGTTTAAACTTTATTGAACCGGTGCTCGAAACACATCAGAAATAACTGAAAAAAATTATGAAATAATATCAAAAAGTGTACACCATAATGACGCTTTGTATTTTGTTGGTATAACTAGCCGATTAATCATTTCATGTAGAATGGTTCTATAGTTCCCATATTTCAAGCAAGGCTAAGTAATCTAATTATTAATGATAAATGATAGATTTTTAATAACGTTAATAATTATTAATTACATAATATTAATTATATTAATGATTACTGGGCTTTAATGAAAACATTCCATATCATAATCAATTAATAGTTTGTTCTCTTATCATTCGTTTTTATTTTTTACCCTATGAAAAATGTACAATAGATACTGTGCGAAAAGTAAATCATTTACATTTTTAATCCTTATGAGATTTTCGAAATAATATATATATATATATATATATATATATTTAATGAGTGCCATATTTACTTATTAATAATAATTTAATGTGACTTGTAATTTGTTTTTAATTATTTTTCAAGGCTAAGATTAAAAAAATAATAAGTTGAGGTCAAGCACACAAGTCATGTTAACACAATATTCATAATATGTAATCTTAATTTTGTCCTAATATTTAAATAAAATGTTCATTGACAAGACGTTCACTATAGTTTTTATTAATATAACATAGGATGTTCATTAACTATACAAATTTTAAATTCTTGAATAAACATTTTTATATTGTATAAAACCCATTAAATACCACTGCGGAACTTAAGCCTCCCCATAGACTACCTGATAAAGGGGATATTTGCCATAGTTGCCACGCTTTGCAGGCGAATTGGCAACCGCAGTTTATTATTATTATTATTGAGTTTTTAATAGAAATATACGACATTATCTCCTGTTTCAGTTTCCTTTTGTTGCATCTAACGACTCCCACGGGATGATAATATTATAGGGTAGTGGAATCTTTTACACCGCCACCCAGAAATAAAAACAAAACGTGATTGACGTTTTGCAAACAATACATGTTTTCGTGTACTAAAATTGAGGTATTAGAGCTTACGTTCTATAATAATGTGCAGTATTTTTTTCTATAAACATGTGATTTTTACAATAACCCGCGGCATTTTTGTAAATATGTAAATAATTTGGTAACCTAGATTCTTTTACAAGCTGCTTAACTGTTTTAACAATTCCATAACTTTTTAAGAATCGTTCTGAATAAAAAATAGAGAAATTAGAATTTATTATTATTATTATTGACATTCTGTAAAATTATAAGAGGGTAACTAATGTTTAATGTAGCTCTGAGCGAAATGGTATGGTCGTGAATTATATAAAATATATATTTTAGGCTTTATCTAACTCAATAATATCGGATATACAATTTGATTATTGGCGAGTAATAGAAATTTATAAATAGCCATAAACGTATTATAATAACTAACTCTAATTTCCGTTCAAAGTTTTGTAGAATTATACTTTAAAAGTTTAACATTATATGCTTTTTATTTTTTTACACGCTATCTAGTATTCTTGTAAAGTATTATACGTAAATACTAATATAGAAAAAAAAAAACAATGACAATATTAATATTTATCTACACCGCATTTAGAGTTACGTTTATATACGTGATATATGTGCTTTGTGATTGGGCAAAAGTATTTGTTTGGTATTTAGAACATTAGACTTAAAATCTTAGTGTTAATTTGAAACATATTATGACAATAGCAAATTCCTTTTGGATGTGCTTACCGATATCAACGGAACACTTCATATCACATATCAATCAGAATAAGCGAGTACAGCAATAAACTTACTTACCTACACCTATATTGTCAATGTGTCATAATATAATATCTTCCAATCCATTTGTTATACAGTGTGTGTTTTGACGTACTTTTATTAGTTTAAACTTTAAATGAAAAAACAAAAATGTTAAAATAAATGAGACTGCAGTAATAATGTGTTATACCTTTATTTACCCCTTGTAATTTTTTAAATTACTTAATGTTAAACATCTATAGCATTATGATTAAAATTTCTTTAATTCTGCAATTCGCTTTTTAATCACATTTAAATAAAAATATATACTTGTTTATTTAATATTATAAAATATATGGCTTTACGGCAGAAATAGGTATTTAAAGGTATCCTACCAACATAGACAAACAAAAAGGAGTCTTACCACCTCGGAATTTTGAAATTTTTAAAATAACCACCATTTAAAAAATCTCTATTGCACTGGTTAACTTTAATTTTTTATAGAAGATAGCGCAAACGAGCATGCGGCTCACCTGATGGTAAGTGACTACCGCCGCCCATGAACAACTGCAACACCAGGGGAACTGCAGGTGCGTTGCCGGTCTTAAGGGAGTTAGCTCTCTAATGCAACTAAAGCTGCGAAAAAATGTGACGTTTATGGACCTAATGCAGTGTCAGTAAGATTAGCACAAAGTTGGTTCAAGCCACAGAAATCGTAATAATAGACCATAGAAGTCGCATAGACGCGTGACCTTGTCGCCGCTATCATGTGTTGACGAACATAATTCACCATTTTGTGATTTAGTTGCGCGGGGAACGTCGTACGTGAATTTATGTTATTATAAATTTATAATGATGAACTGCAGCATAATCAATTGTAAAAATTCGTCAAGGATGTGTATTTCAACTTATAAAGGCATACATTTTATCGGTAAGTTGATTATTTACTAATTATCATTGTTTTAACTAATTTACATCTATGATATAGATATATATGAATACTTTACTGTGATATTTACCTTTGTAAACTTTCATTTACTAATTTTCGTATTGTACAATTACCATTGCTGCTTTTGTTCTACGTTGAAAAACTCGCCAAGCAATGTAATGTGAAACATTAGATATCATTGTGCATTGTGCGTGTATTTATAATACGGTAAGATGTGGCGACATCGGTTTTGGAAGAAATCGAGCGCTAATTCATTTGTTTTGTCTTATTATTACTATTTCTGTGGTTCAAGCGTTTTCAGTCCAGGAATTGTGATGTCAAACATGTAGCTCGCTTTAGTCGTCCTCGTACGGATAAAGGCATATTAGTAGTTAAGAGATAGCGCAAGAATTAAGGATTGACTACAAAATAGTTTTAACCCAGTTGAAAAAGACTGGATATACAAAAAAGCTCAATATTTGGGTACCACACGAGCTCACTGAAAGAAACCTAATTAATCGTGTACTCATTTGCGATTCTCTATTGAAATGTAATGAAACTGAACAATTTTTTAAAAGATTGATCAATGGTGATAAAAAGTGGATCATCTATGACAAGAAAGTGTGAAAAAGATCATGGTCAAAGGATAGTGAAGCTCCACAGACAAAACCCGGATTAAAGAGCAATAAGTTGATGCTTTTTGTGTGATGGGATTAGAAGGGCATCGTTTATTATGAGATTTTACCGACGGACAAAACCATCGATTCGGATAGCTACTGCCAACAACTAAATAGAGACTCAAGCAAGAAATTTAGAAAGAAGCGGCCGGAATTGATCAATAGAAAAAGAGTGGTCTTTCATCATGATAACGCCAGATCTTTGGTCCCACAGCAAAAATTGAAAGAGCTTGGTTGGGAAGTGTTAATGAATCCACCATATATATATTCCTGACGTTGCACCGTCAACTTTTCATCTGTTTGGATCTCTTCACAATTCTTTTGATATGCTATGTTAACATCCAGAGAGGACCGTAAAACTCTTTGTTACATTTTTTTTTAAATAAATGCCGTGATTTCTCCAGCAACAGGATTATGTCACTTCCGACACACATCTTATGTGGTAGAGCCATGCTGCAGTTATATTAGATGTATAGTTGTAGCACGAATGGGTCGGCTCGACCGGGGTAGGACCACGCTCTCACAGAATACCAGCGTGAAATAGTAGCTTAATGCTGCTGTATTTCGTATGGTGAGTGTAGAGAACCGGCGACCCATTTTACTGGAAACGAGGCATTCCATCTTAGTCCTCACGGGTGACAACACATCTGCATTTTGATTCGTAATCGAGGATAGATGTAGATGTCTATGGGCCACAGCAACCACTTACCATCAGGTGGACTGTGTGCTCGATTGTCACCCTATCCTATAAAAAAAAGCTATCCTGCAGCTATATTATGGTTGTAGCACAAATGGGTTGACTCCACCGGGGTAGGACCACGCTCTCACAGAATACCAGTGTCAGCATCTCAATGTTGCTGAGATTCGTATGGTGAGTATAGAGAGTCGGAGATCCTTTTTATTAGAAACGAGGTATTCAACCTTATTCCTCAGGAGTGGCAAGGCATTTATATTTTGGTTCTCTTTTTAATGGCATTGGGTGACAAACGAGCACACAATCCAACTTATGGTAAGTGACTGTTGTGGCCCATATACATTCACATTTATCTTGAATTATTAATTCAAATGCACATGCGTTGTCACCCCTGAGAACACAGATGGAATACCTCGATAACAATTAAAAGTATCTCTGGTTCTCTACAGCTATTTACACTTCATTCCTAATCGTGGATTGATGTAGATATCTATGGGCCCCAGCATTAGCTTCCCTCAGCAGCTTTGGCTTATTATACTCCTTCGGCGACCGTCCTCAGCCGCTACGGCTCGCACAGATGCCTACGATTTGATACAGTGGGCGGG